CTTTCTTTCTTTCTTTCTTTCTTTCTTTCTTTCTTTCTTTCTTTCTTTCTTTCTTTCACCCTGGCTAGAAGGAAGTCTGTCTGCATCAGCCTCCTGAGTGCTGGGATTAAAGGTGTGTACCACTGTGTGTGTGTGTGTGTAGAGAGAGAGAAAGAGAGATAGAGATAGAGAGAGAGACAGAGAGAGAGAGAGAGAGAGAGAGAGAGAGAGAGAGAGAGAGAGGAGATTGAAGACATGGCTGTTGGCTTAGTTCTTTCAAAACCTACTTTTAATAGTGGTTCTTACATGATTTAACCTCCCTTCTAGCCCACTACTTACCAGATGTAGTGGGGAAAAGTTTATTAGGATACGGGGGAGGTGAACCTGTTTAGAAATTGTTCTTTAGCAAATCCAATCTGTACTGTCAGGAAATCAGCAGTTCAGTTCACAGGAATTAACAGCGACAGCTCGATCCACTCACAAACACTTCATGAATACACCAGCAGTCCAGTTTAGAAGTGTCGGGATAGCAAACAGGAATCAGCAGTGGTGGCATGACCTAGCAGAGACAACCAGGCTGACACAAGTCTTCAAGGGTGACCAGGACCATCGGGGATACCAGAAGTTCTCTGCTGTGCCTCTCTCAACAAAGTGAAGATCAGCGAAGACAAGAGACCAAGGAAGCATTGCAAAGCTCGCTCTGCAAGCCCCTGTCACTGTCTGGTGAGTCCTAGCTATACTCCCTTCAGACAGCATGTGTCCTCCCGTGGGTCTTGCCTCATTAAGAGACCACGTGAGTCTGTCTTAGCAAAAATCCACATGAGGCTGTCCGAAACTTCCATTTCACTCTGCCAATTGGCCCGAGTCTGTGGAAGTGACAAGAAGCCACAGGAACCTCACGAGAAGTTCTTTGGTGAGTATCTGTCTATGGTGTCACCACAAATGGAGCTCAGCAATACAATGGATGGCGAACCAATACATGCGTGTCTAGTGAAGAATCCTTCACCACGTGTCCTTTCACATGCTTGCATTAGCAGAACATCCTCTCTTCTGCGTCTGCTTCAGTGACATGTTCCTTCACACGTCTGCTTTAGCAAAGCACACCTTCACCTGTGTCTGTTTCAG